GAATGCCCCAACACAATTCCCTGAAGTTGCCACAACCCTCAGGCCCACAGACTGGGTAAGATTATCAACACAAAAGTCGAACAGTAACAAGGAAAGTTGTCCAGGACTTAACTAACCTAGTGCCACACATACCATCCAATTTCAATGCAGTTTTAAGCTCAAACTCCAAAATCAAGTTTTTCCAGCATTGTAAGGATCCCAGAGCAGCTTCAGAACCTCAGTGCAACACTCCATTGCTCCCAAATTACTGACACAGCCACACAAAACTCTTACAGGAGTGGAGGAACACTTGCTAGCAAAAATACCACACAGCTCCAGACCATAAATTGCTAATTTAATATAGAGATTTCAGAATTAATGCAACACTCCAAAATTTCCTGACCACAGCCTTTACACTCAGCTAATCCTTATTTTTTAATGGAAATGGCTATGAAAAATTATCTCAATCTGAGATTACAGAAAGAATATTCCAAGCTTTTCTTCCTCTTCAATAAGCAATTTATTTTCAGATTATATAACCAGGTGCAGAAATAAATTACACATTGTGCTACGTAAAAAAAAATCCAACACAAATACTATAATTTTGGTTTACATTTAACAAAAAGGAAATGATCAGTAAAAGGAGTATTTTCCCAGTAGATAACAGGATAACAGGACTACAAACATGAGTTATGGGATGGCACCTTCTGTGAACCACAAATGCCTTAAATTCCCTCTAAATCCAGGGATGGATGAGCACACACTGGCACTAACCACACTGATGGTGTCCAACCACAGTAAATTCTCCCAGACCCTCACTGCAGACAGAGCTGAACCAACCACACGACCCCAAATTTATTCTATCTCTCTGCTTTGGGGTGTTAAGGGAACGCAGTGGCACAGGAAAAGCCCTTCCTGCAGAAACAGGTAGCCAAGGCTGTGCTCCCAGGCTGCAGCAGTGCAGCTGATGCAGTTTCCCACACCACATATGCAGGGAAATCTGGTTACTGGAAGCAGCAAAAGCTGCAGTACAGTGATTAACTGTAGCTCTTCACAGCTTCCTGCTGTAGTACAGCGTGTTACACACCCACACGAGCACAGGCAGGATCCAATCCTATGTTCCAGAGGAGAGAAACCAGGCAGAAAGCCACAATTCCACACACTGTCACAATCCCAAACTTAGCCATTCCTCTCTTGCCTCTAGCTAGTAACACCTTAAGTTTTCCTCTCAATTCCCCTTCTCCTCTGGGTACTTAAAGACAGTGAAAATCCTTTATTAGCATTAGCCAATGGAATATTCACTTTACAGCATCCCATTAATATTTTAATTGATTTTCTTTTAATTATAACATGCTATTTTGGCCCAGGAAGGAGCACATTGCCATCAGATTCCAAAATTAAGTACTCCATGAAACCTACACTGTGACTCAAAGCTCTGTTTTTAAAACATGTCTGTATCTGGTATTGTTCTGCTTTTCTGGAAACTAGAGTTCTAATGGCTTGAGATTGATTTAAACCTGTTTCAGCTCTTTATGCCCAAGCTCTTCCTCAGACACTTGTCTTGAGCTGAGACGAGCGAGGAGTTTTAGAGGAGAAAGAGGATATCTGACCTCCCTGACTACAGGCAGGAACACTGCTGTAAATTACTTCTGCAAACAGTAATTTTTACATCAAAGCTCATGGCTGGCAGGTTGGGATGACCTAAGAACACATAACAGCAACACTCAACTCCAAACCTGGTAAAAGTTCCCAGTGTATACATTGATCTACTCTTAGCTTATATAAAAAGATCATAAAATAACTACTAGCAGTTTAATTCTTCGGAGAAAGCTCTCAGAAAACACCCTAAATGGAGACATCTTCAGCAAAGCATTTTAATGAGCAGGGATAAAACCCAATGCTTCAGCACTTCCACTCTTCCCAGGAAAAACAGGGTGTCATCCATGCTCCCAGAGGTACCAGGGAGCTCCCAATCCCTGTGCTGCCTCCCAGGCATATTTAAAACATGTATAACATACACAATATTCCCACAGAATGCTAATTACAACGTAAATACATGCTCTGTATTTATGAATACATTTTATTATGCCCTGGACGATGTGGAACTCCCACACTGAGCATCTCCCCAGCTCACCCACAGGATTATTTCCTGTGTGTCCAGGTGATGCCATTTCACATCAAGCCCCAATTGCATGGTCAACCCTTAATCTCTCCTTTAAACGAGTGGATTTCCTCTACATAACATTCAGGCCTTGATTACATGTTCTAAAGGAAAACACAACATCACTGAGTTCGTGCTTCAGATTTTACAAGCTCCATATGAGATTTTGACTAAACCACAAGGACCAGAGAGCAATGTAGCAATACATACACTTATAGCTAATTGAAAAATACAAACCAGATGGGTTTGTAATCACTTCAATTAACATTCAAGTTGAAGAAGGAAAGAGAATTAATCTTCCTTCATGGCACCTCGAGGTTTTGGGTTTCCCCCCCCCTCATTTTTAATGCAGCAACTAACAGAATTGCAGTGAGACACCTCCAGAAAAACCCAATTAACAATGCAGCGTGCAGGTTCACCCAAACCCTTGGCAGCAAACAGACTGGGTATGACAAACCAACACAAACCGTTTTAAACTCCTTTATTGTTCACCTATGAAGCACCACGAAAAATTACACTCTAAACCCATTAAAAACGACATGGTCAGAACCAACAAATGTGAGATTTTATCTCGCTGCTTGAAACGCACTAAAAGCCTCTCAAACAATCGAGGGGAAAATCCACGTCTACGTGTTCCATGCAGCAGCAAGGAAACTTCCCCTGGTTTAAAACCTCGGGCACAGACAGACGGTGGCTGATGAGGGCCGAGGGCTGCTGACGGTGGGGGAGGCACAGCATATCCCGAGGAGAGAATCCCTGGGAGAGCATCCCTGGGAGAACATCCCCGCCCAGTGCATCCCAAGGAGAGAATCCCTGGGAGAGCATCCCAGCCCAGCGCATCCCTGGCACCGCATCCCCGGCACAGCATCCCAGCCCAGCGCATCCCTAGCAGCGCGTCCCTCCCGAGCGCGGCGGATCGCGGCGCATC